CTAGTGCTGAAGAGATTAGATGTGTGATTCGTGGGCCCCTCAACTCTCTCAGCAGCTACCAGGAAAGGAGATGGGATTATACAGGAAAGATCTGTGGAGGACCCTCTTATCTAATCTCGTAAATCCCCGTGACATACACTGGAGACCCACAAGGTGTTTGAGAATCTTATAGCAGCATAAACACTGCCAGCTTGGATTGAAAGGGACAAGTTTGTGATAATTTGTTACAGAAGCCATAGGAAACTAATAGCTAGCATTTTTTTGAACACTTACTGTGTACCAACACTCTGCCTGCTTTCTATGTATTATCTCATTTAACCCTACATTAAGCCTATGAGGTAGCACTATTGGTATCTCTACTTTTACAGATTTTATTTAATTTTTATTTATTTAACAAGCACTTACAGAGCACTCACTATTTTCTAAGCGCTTTATAGATATTTATTTAATATTGTTATCTCCATTTTGTAGTTCACTTATTCTCTCTCTTTACCTCAAGGAGGCAAGTGGCCACCAGACCCTTTTACTTTTTCTAATCGGTGAGTATTGTTTGTGTCCCATGATGCATTTGAGGTGAATGTAATTCTGATGCTTTTTGTAACCTAGGTTTATATACCGAGTGCTTCAGGGATCCCTGTTTCCATCTCCAATTCTGAGGGCTAAGCACTTCGACAGACTAACTCCAGAGGAAAGGATTGAAGCTCTCAAGAAGTGGAGAGGGACTGGAAAGATGGGTCAAGTGACATTTAAGTATGTTGACCACTCAGCTACCAAGTCAGAGAGAAGACCCACGTCTGGCTCTTCTGATGTCTTTGCAATGATGTCAGCAACTTCTTGTGCTGTTGAGCAAGAAAACTTATCTGTACATGAAACTGCCTTAGACTCAGACTACTCTGACATGAAGCCCTCAGGGATAGCTGGACCTGCAAAGGGTTAAAAAAGTAGGATATCCTCCTTGGAGTTACAAGTATTTCTTCAAGTTTGGAAGAGGGACTTTGAAGAGGCATCTCTACCAAGCAAGAATGACTGGGATATTTCCTTAAGGGACTTTTGAACATTTTACTTGGCTTGGAAAAGCCGATGTGATGACCTTTATTGTATGTTTGTAGATACATTTGCGAAAGAAGACAGAGTTTGACCTGGACAGAGTTTGGGGAAGTGAAATATTTAATTCAGAATCAAATGCTTTTATGAAACTTTTTGGATTTTGTAAAAGCATTTTAATTGTCTTAGAAATACGAACATTTTCAAGGGGATTCGAGATGTATTTATTTTACTGGGAGATCTCAAATTCCAGGGAAATGCTTTAAATGAGCAGACTTCAATCTGAATGTTTTTTTAACTAAGAAAAAAAAGTAGTTTTTAGACTGATTAGTTAGAACTCAGGAGAATTCCACAAGAAAAAATGTTATAAATGGTTAATTTCCAGAGAAAAAATTCCTAAGAGCCTTTTAAACAACAGTGTACCTAAAATAGGGTAATAATTGTACTATTTAAAATATAGTGATTATTAGTAGATTTTTATTTCCTATGGGAAGATGCTTTTGGTCTTCTAACTGAAGATGTTAGGCATAACTCTCTGCTCATTTCAGTGTTCTCCTGAGGTGGAGCCTCCATTGCGATGGGGCAGGAGGGTGCCAGGGGTCCATAGGAACATGTTCCTCTCTCAGCTTCTAGTCAAAAGGAGACCTTTTATGAGGGCTGCCTCTGTGCAGATGTTGTCATTTGGGAAACAGAGGCCACTGGTGAGGCAGACAGAATCAGCTGAGCCTATAGCCCATTTGGCAATTTCCTGTATTCTAAAACTGACAATGAAAAATGAGACAATCAATTTCAAAACAATCTTCAAGAGACCATCTGAGGGTTCACAGTCTTTACAATACTCTACAACTTTTCTGGAGTTGTAACCTCTAAAAATGAGATATTATAAATTGAGACTAATACAGGTGGTTCTCAGGAGGTTCTTAAAAAAATTTGTTTTTTAATACATTTTAGGACAGGAATGTCTATAGCAGTTTAACTGCTGTTGCAAATCATGTATGCTGGCTTTAGTTGGAACAAAGAAACTACTTTATACCAAGTAAGGAAGTAAGGCCAGGTGTTATTATAAGATCATGTATTCTTGTTGGGTTCTTTTTTAAAATTCTATATCTGTTCATCTGAAAATTGTCACCCACCAATCACCCAGAATTTCCTTCATGAAATCTCCATGCTAGTGTTTCATGTGTATATCAAGATCTTCTTAATGACTATTAAACGATTCTTCTCAGGGCGTATTCTTCTACCTGCTGCCTACTGTCCTGGTCTGACACTTTTTGTAGCCTTCTGATATTATTGCAAATAGTCTTTTATATAGACATTTCTAGAACTTTCAAAAATCCCACATGGCTAATGGAGGTTGCTTTCTGTTTTCTTATGATTTTTTTAAATAAACTGTTTAATAAATAACGTGTACCAAAAATTGTCATCACTCCAGTAGATACTCACCGAATCCAACAGTAATTGGTACCAGAACTTAGAAGGAGAATCCCAAAGCCCACCTTTTACCAGAATATTGTTTTGGCCTTTTCTTATATGGAAAAATCAGTGATGTCTTATCATCTGTTATCCTCATAGCAGCTGGCATTCATTCCCTGAGATCATCATTTTCTGATAAATAAAAATTTAGAGATATATTCACTTGTAAATAAAAGATTAGAATCTAAGGATAAAAAGAATGAGCCAAAAAGACTAAAAAAAGAGGTCAACTTCCAAGATGTGAAGTATCTGTACATGTGAGCACAGGAAAGTCTTGAGGGTTCATGTTATGGATCCACAATCGCTTATCCACAATTTCCAAAATTGCAAGAGCTCTGAAACTGAAAATTTTTTCATAAATTAGGCACAAATTCAATGTCCTAAACAGATGTAAGTCTACTTATTTAGTGTAACTGTGCATATATTTTGCTACAAAAATATTAATGTATTTTATTACTGAGTGCTAAATTGTATTTTGTTTTTATAATTTTGAAAAATTTGAGATTCTGAAACACATCTGGCCCTCAGGCAAAAGAGATTTGGAATCTGTATTGAGCCTTTAAGGGTCTCATTTACAAGTGAATAACTCTTTTACACAGTTACCCAAGCTGATGTGATCTATTGCATTTTGATATTCAGCATATTTCACTGAATTTTGGGGGACCGAGCATTATATCATTACTCCAAGTAGCCAAGAAAAATTGATTAATAATATACATTTTGGGATATAATTTTACCCCAAAAGATTTATGAAAAAATTGGATCAGGTTCCCAAAATGTACTCTAGACATTAAAGATCCATGCATTCTTACCAGGGCTAAAGTTTTCCTTGGACATTCAATAGGTGATTTGAGACTATTAGCGTCTTCTCATTTCAGAATAATCATAGAGCCATCTGTCCTCTAAAATAAAAGAGCCTGTTCCTGTGAGAGTGAGATATAAGACAGGTAATTTTGATTGGTGGGAAGTCTGGTGCCAACTGTTACAGTAGGAGACACAGTTTTCTGGGACTTGCTATCCATGTTGCATATCCATAAAAAAAAAAGATTATACCATTTTATTTGTATTGAGGGTTATTTAAAATAAGTGCAATATGTACATTTTACTGAATATAAGTTGAGCAAGGCTAAAAGTTGTTACAGTAAGTATGTACCCACAACTATGACAAAACTGACATACGTTCTTAAACATTCATACAATTGTGACCATAATTCACTTGCTGGATTTCACATTCTCAGTAGGTTTATACAAACTACAGAACAGGAGATGAATAACATGGAAAGTGTCAAGACAACTTTTTGAATTTCAAATATGTGTACGCATAGAAAAGAGTACAAAAATACATGTATAAAATTGCAGGTAGTCTCTTTGTGGAATGCTGAGGCAGTCTAGGTTGCTGGTAGAGGTTAATAGAGAATCCTATTTGTTCAAAAGGCATTTGGATGTTGCAAAATGGATGCCTGACTAAGGTACTTGTGAAGATTTGTGTTTTGAAGCTTTTTAGTGGGGAAAAATACTTTAACCACTAATTACTTCAGAAATTGATGTGCGTAAAGTGGCCTAGTGCTTAAAAGCATCTTTAAAGTTTTGTTTTAATTATCGATGAGAAGAAATGGCAACATCAGATATTAAATATCTTCCACAGAAAACTACAAAATGTTTTACTCCATGCAAAATTTTACTGTGCTTTGAGACATATTTCTGTGACTTTATTGGTATAGACAAACACAGGAAAATTGGAAAATATTGAATTGGGAATCAGGTGTAATTTAATGTTCTTTTTAAAAAATTGCATCTCTCCAGTCTAAAGCAAGTTCTCCTTTGGCGAAGTTTAATCTCAACTTCATTGTCACATTGGCAGAACAAAATATTTCCCGTAAATGTTTCCCTGCTTGTTGAAATCTCAGTCAACTGATATACACTTAACAAACCCCAGCTATAGGGAAGGTGCTTTGGAGACTTTTCTATAAAATTACATCCTTGATTGAAATTCAGAATGGGCAGTCCTATAATGTCAAGTGCTAATGTTGATGTCTAAAGAGCCTTGCATTCGATATGTCTTGCTATTTCCGGCACCTAAATGGATGCTACTTGTCTTTTACCTCTGACTGTCTTTCATAAGTTCTCGGAATTATGCAAACTTTAGAAGAGTCATAGTAAATAATTTAAGCATGTAAATTATCTTGGCTTTTAATAAATCAAAAGCAAGTCTCCAATGTTAATATTGAAATTTGCCACTATGCTATTGTGCTTGAGAAACAAAAGCTGGCAAAGATTAGTCAGCCTGGATCTCAATGTCCTTCTTGTGATTGGATAAAGGGAATTTTCTATAACCTGTTACCCTAATGCCTGCATTATTCTCTCTCCAGAATTGATAATTTCGTGCTACAGTCAAGGTTAGGCCTAACGAAAGAAAAAATCTGCTTTGCTTTGTTTTTAAAAAGACTTTCATTGAATTTGAAAGAAGAGAAAAATAAAGTTGAAAAAAAAGCTGAATAAAATTAGACCAAACAAACATGAAAATTTGCAGTGCACTTTGAGCATCCCTGTCCATGAAAAGTGCTTCTGTGCAGCTCTCTGCAGGAGCTCTCCACAGTCAAGAAGGCCATTTTCTTTGAGTGTCGCTGGCAAAAGTCTCTGATCATCTTTGGAATTAGTTTAGGAGAAAAGTGTGGATGTATATTTGTCTTTCAATCCATTCGGCGAAATATGACACATTGCTATAAACTCCAGGCCCCAGGACTTTGGAAAAGCAGACAGAGCCCCATGAAGTTAAACCAAATAATGTCCACTGTCCTCCAGGCCGCTCACAAACAAGAGGCCCACCGCTGTCACCCTGTAATGAATAACAGTGGACGTTAGTCACTGGTATTTCAGAGCCCTAATGTCCATGTTATCCCGAAGGTACAATAAAGCCAAACCCAGCTTAACCAATTTCTTGAAAAATTTCAACAAAGCTTTCACTGTCAACCTGTGGAAGGAGCATGTTTCTCACTATGTAAATGGAACTTTCAAATGAACATTTTAAACTCTGATCTTTAAAAGGATAGAGGTAGCTTAGGAGAGAACTATATTCTTTCCATGAAATCAGAAGACATTTCCAACCATTTCCTGCACTTATCAAAATATGTCATAAAATTTTAAAAAAATTAGTGTATCAGAACTAATTCTCTTATAACTAATCTCATTCTTTAACTTTGATGCATTTTATAAATGTAGAAAGTACCCAAAATGGAACATTCAAAGATTTGTTTTTCCCTCAAGACAGTACTAGAAAAGATTCTAAAATAACTCTCTACTTTCAAGATTCTTGCTATGTGAATGACGCTTTAAGTAAAACACACTCAGGGGACACTTGCTGCCATTTCTTAATAGTTATTAGGACTTTTTCAATTAGCATACTTGAATGGAAAATGCCACATAAGAATTATTTACAGTGAGGTATTTCATTTATTTATAACCTATATTTTATTTCATATACATAGAGATTTTCATTCTTGATATTTAAGTTTAGGTGTCGCAATTGTTTTACTCAGTTCTTTCACCCACATAGAGTAAGACATTAGGCTCTACAGACATTAATATTTGCTGTCTAAAAAGATTAGGTTAGAGAGGTGTATTCTGCACTGCCTCAAAAAAGAAAGATTGATACCCTAAAAAATAAGGAAGTAAGTATGTGAACTCATGGTGTAAATTTACAAATACTATCTGTCCTGCAAGAATTTAAAACCTGGAAGTATATGGTCTTCCTACTTGGTAATGTTGGAGAATAACAGTAATCATGTTTATTGATGCTCTTCTAAATGCTTTCCCTGTATTAGCTCCTTTAATTCTCATGAAATCCCTATAAGCTGATAATATTTTATTATTACTATTATTCTATCCATTTTGGAGATAATGAAACTGAAGCACAGGTTTATAACTTGTTCATTAGCAGAGCTAGAATTTAAACCCAGGCAGTCTGGCAACATGGTTCCACCTATATAACTACTAGGCTACCTTGCTTCTTAAAAATGTGAGTGAATACTATTGCTATTAAAGCAAAATTGAATTTTGGATTGTGCTGTACGCTTTTGTGGAAGTGGTGATCTTTACATTCATAACTTACCAATGCCATAAGCCTAAATAATAAGCATAGAGCTTGCAAGCGGCAGAATAAACTGTTCTGCCTGAAAGCCTAATTGAATTTTTTCAGGCAAAATTTACTGAAAACATTTTTATTCGACATATTCCACAAAATTTTTTTCATCACCTCTTACATAAAAGAAATACTAGGATACTGCGTTATTTAGGTTGAACTGGTTATTATGCCAGAGAGTGATTAAAATGGGACATTTTACAGGTCAATTCTAGACTTCCAGATCAGAAATTTAGCCAAATCATTACTCAGCATCTACTTTTCACAAGATTCTGTGCTGGCATCTACACAGAGGAAGACGGCACTATATTCTGTCCCTGAGGAGCCAAAAGTCTGCTGGGGTAACAAGAACGCCTTTACATGAAAGAAAATTCTAACGGCTCTAGATGACGGAGTCTTCAAAGGAATGAGCAATAACTCCCAGCTGAAGGGGGGAAAACCTGCCTTCCTAAGATGTGGGTTTGCACTAGGCTTAGTGATGGCAGGTGGACATTTGTTAGGTAGAAAACAAGGTGAAGAAGCAGCAATTCAAAATGAAGGAGAATCCAGCTAAAGGCACAATTTGCTGGTCTTTTTCATCCTCTTTTCCTCTGTGTAATATTGGGCTTTTGGCCAAAGCTTGTGTTTGGCTTCAGTATTGATCCCCAGGATTTCTGATCTTAGTAGAGGGACCCCTAGCTTCCAATGTGTCCTGTTGATGCAATTAAGGAAGATAAGGGAGGTTCTGGTGAATAATCTTGCTCTAGACCTAATAAAAAGTAGCTTTTGTTTGCTTGTTTGGAGTTTTGTTTTCTACCTGGGTTGTGTTAGAGAACATCTGATATGCATTTAAGGTACCCACAGTGCTGAATTCCCACTACTATAGAAGATGGCGTGACTCGGTTTCTATTAGACATCATGATATGAACATGCTTGCACCTGTGCCTGGGCCTTCAACTCTTTCAAAGAATCACCTCTCTTCCCCTCCTTTAGCGATTGCCAAGAGATGAAGAGGCAGTAGTTCTGGGTAGACCTCCAAATCATATTGGGGACAGGGAGAAATGTATTCACATTAATCATTGCTACTAGGGTAGCGTAGCGGCCAAGCACTTGGGCCCTGAAGCCAGACTGCCTGTGTTCGTATTCTGACTACCAGCTTCCCGCTGGGTGATATGGGGCAAATTATTTAACCTCTCTGGTCCTTGTTTTCTTGATCTGTAAAATAGGAAAAACAATGATAACTGTCACAAGTGGTGATTGTAAGGATTAAATGAATTACTAGAAAGCATTTGAAAGAGATCCTGGACCACAATAATTATCAACAGATAGATGTTAAGCTTCATATAGTTACTAGTCACTGAGCATATGTGCTAGGCATCACACACAGATATGTGAAAGATATGGGCTTTCATGTACATTAACTCAGTTAATCCTCAAAAAATCCTGCAAACTAGACAGAATCAGCCCCACTTTACTCATGAGAAAACTTTCTAGAGAGGTTAGATAACCTCTCCAGGTCACATTGTAATTACTGGCAGCGATGGAGCCAACCCAGATCTTTCAGGCTGCAATGCTGTGTCCCAAACCCTACACCATGCTGCCTCCCCAAATACTTTATTTTTGGTTTTTTTGGCCTAGGAAATCAAACCTGGGGCTCTTTCATGGAAGGCAGGGATTCCTCTACCACTGCCCACTTCAGCTGGATGAGTAGGGGGCAGGAGGCAGAAGGGAAAGTCGTGTTAGTGAAACTCCCAAGGAGCCATCTGCTCCCGTCTTTCCCATGACAACTGTCTAAGGAATCACCCCTGGGCCACGTCCAGTCCCCTGATTTGCCCATTCTGAAATGGACCATCAAAAATGTCATTTTATGACGTTAGGTTAGTGCTAATAGCATTGTCACATCTCCTCTTCAATTCTAAAACGTAGGGGGCAATTTGATCTCCTCCAAAGCAGTGAAATAACAAAGGTGCCGTCAGCAGTGCAGCATAATACCTGCTGTCCCCACTCTGTTATAAGCTGCTTTGAGCTCTTGCACCGTTTTATCCTTCCCTGGGAGCCAGTCCAGTATGATAGTCAATGAGTGTTTATAAAGTAAAAATACAAATGCTTCCCTGCATTGCTAAGCTAGCAGGCTCTACAGAATTTAGTGACCAAGAAGCCTGAGTGTCTAAAGGTCACGTTCAGTGACAGCTCAGGGCATGCTGGCCATCAAGTGCAGGCCCAGGCCATGCCAGTGTGATCAACTCCTGAGACAGAGGTAGTTCTGTCACATACCCTGGATGTTGGGGTGTTTGTGTGCTTTAATGCATCACCCTGATGGCTAACAATGTCCTTTGGTGTCCCTCTGCTCCTTGGGGTAGCCCAGTTGGAGCCACTGTTACCACCAGCTCCTCTTAGAGCCTTCTTTGTCCTAGCTGCTAAAGTGGTCCAGAGATGGACTGGAACCATTGCTTTCCCTACGTTGCTGACGCAGGGTGCTGTTCCCATGCAGTAGACGGAAAGCAGAAGGCAACCTGAGTGAAGGGCATGGAGGAAGTGAGCGGGATCGCTGGGATCCTGGATGAAGGAAAGCATACTGAACAATTAAACATTTGGTAACAAACAATTTTCAAAAAATGTTCCCAAAGGGCCACACGCGAATAATAATAAGTTTATATGGACCCATTGAACTTATCGCTGAATGGAATCTCCTGGGTAACCAGAAAGCAACCTACCATGCACGAGTCGACTGTGCCAGACTCATAGCCTGCACATATCATCCGGGTGGTGATGGTCTTCATGTCAAAGTAGGACCGACACTGCTCCAGAGGAATAATGCGGACTTCTCCCTCCTGCAGCTTAAAAGGCACTGGATTTTTTAGAAAGAAGAAGGAATAAAAGAATACATGGGGGTAAAAATGACTCAAAAAGGAGGCTAGCCATATATGAAATGATTACATTTTCACACCAAGAGAACCATATTCTTTACTAAAAATGTCATTTCAAAGATAAGGTTCATTTGGAATCAGAATTTTCCAGTTAGAACTATTGACAGCAATCATCTAGTCAAACCCCTTTATTTTATTAATGAGAAAATTGAGGCACAGTCTCCTTAAGTAACTTAGGTAACTTGGCTCGTGCTTTCCCCTCTTGTGATATGCTGCCACAAAAACAACAGCCACTACAATAATGAAAAGGAAAATAATCAAACTAGAGCTCTGCCCCAGAGAGGAGGCTGCCAGCTCAGTGTCAGCTCGTGTCAGTCCCACTCTGCTCAGGTAGAGAAAACCTGTTCATTCTAACGGGAAGGATTGCCCTATCCTCGGGTTAAAGAATATGTCTCACCATGTGCTACAGCAGCCATTATTTGAGGTAAGAACCTTTAATCCTAGAGGATATGACAGAGAGATGCTGAAAAGGACAAAGCTATCCCTTAGCATCAGTAGAGAGAATATGTGAGTTCCATCTGCTTGCAAGTTCCCACAGAATAACAACAGATTTCTTGAAGCGTGAATCTTTTACTGTTTCGCCATTCTACAAAATTATACACACTGTTCTCCTTTTAGATAGTGATGGGGAAGCAGTGTATATGTACAGGGTACCTTACAAAAAGAAAGAATCATGTAAGGAAAAAATCAATGAGATGCAGACAATGAAAGTTTCCCAAGTCATCAAAAGAATAATAATAAGAACCATCGCTAACATTTATGGGGTACTAGTAGTAGGCCAGGCACCTGCACTCAGCATTCTCTGGGCCTATTGTCTTTAATCTTTACAATAATCTGTGAGTTAGACAGTTGCTATTATTTTTTCCATTTTACAGTAAGTTAGAAAATAGTGCAGACAGAGTCAATCAGATCTTTCTCACTGAATGCAGATGCTCGCTCTTCATGCTACCTACGTATGTGGTATGTGTGATATGTTACACAATTACTCTGATTTTAGTGTGGATATTGTGGAAACAATACAAATAGAGGCAATGTAAAGTATATTCTGCTCTTATATCTCAATATTATTTATAGCTTTCCAAAACCAAGATGTGCAGGAATGGTGACATCATATGTGTGACGCTGTCTTCAAAGTTTTTACATGTGAGCTTTTCAGAAGTCATAGACTTACTTCTGTCTCTTGACTTTTTCTTTCTGTCCTCAGTTGATCACATAGAAAAGAAACTCAATTTAGCTCAAAGTGTATCTGAATAAATTTCAAGGAAAAAAATTGTCCTTCAAATTGGCAGTGGATAATATGACACCAATATACATCACCATGCCCAAGAGCGGTGGCACTACACTTGATATAGTAGGAGCGGCCAGCACTTACCGTTAAAGAAAATGTCTCATTGATTAAATTCTTATTCTAAACTTTCAATAGGTCAAGCAAAATGAGAGAGTCCATTAATGGGGCTTGGAGTAAGGGATAGAAATTTTTAAATTTCTGTAGGTTTTATGTGTTTAAATCATCTAGGGATCCAAATTATTTTAACAATTTAAATAGGCAAATAGCAAATCAGCTTTTTCTCTAGAAGGACTTAACAGTTGTGTTACAGATGTCGACAAGACCAAATCATAACAGAATTGGAAACGTGACCTTGCAGCTTGACTGCGGGAGTGGAACTGCCTCACCGCTAGATGGAGGCTGCGAGTGACTTTGCCTGTAGGTAGTGCAAATCACTGAAACAGTCCAGAGCAGTCATCAGAGAGGACTGACAGGTCTCATCTTGCATGGCAGCCACAAAACATTGGTATTGGCTCCTTGGAGAAAGATTCTGAGGTGTGGAGAAGGGTTTTTGAGGTTGCATCTGAGCTTGGCAGGTTTAAGTGCCATGAGGAAGTACTGACATCTACAGTTTGCATGGAAGGGAGAGTGTGACACGTATCCTAGCATTTACCACTTGTGGCTATACTCAAAATGGAAAATTATCACCAAAGGCTAGGAGGTAACACAGTGCTTTCAGTTACAGGCTGAAAGGCAAGAGCTCCTGAGGATCCTGCTTACTTTTGTTGCCCATGTGCCCCCAGCCTGTGATGTAGCAGTACGTATCAGGTTCTAGCAACTGCCCTGTGTTGGGTAAGCAGACCGGCCGGACGTAGCTCGTTTCATTGATGTCCTCACTCAGCTCCACTATGCTGATGTCATAGTCCACCACTGCTCGACTATAGCGAGGGTGCAGGATGATGGTCTTCACGAGGCGCGTCTGCATGAACGTCGACGGATGGTCTAGATTGTTGATGCCAAACACCACTTTCCAAACATCAGCATTCTCTCTTCTAAAATAACAATTCAAGAGCTACTGGCATCTTAAACTCAGATTTATCTTTTAAAATTTACATGTGATTTTTAAAATATTTTATTTATGTAAATAATGGCTCTTTCCAAGCCCACCTCCTGATGTGTTCAAATAAGAACCATTTACATAATGGCCCGAGCAATTCGTAAATAGGTATTGTTGTGGAAAGCAAAGCTCATACCTCTTGAAAGGGGCTATTCTGGAAAATAAAACTGTTCAGTTGGAAAGGCAGGCACAGTAGTTACTTGCTTCATTGAGTGGGAAAAAAAGAAGAAGGAGAATAAAAAGCCAAGGCTAAGAGATTCCTCCAAGAAAGAGCAAGTGCCTCAAAGAAATGTCATGTTTTCAGGAAAGCCTTCTGAAAATTTCAAGCCAAGGGCTTAAAAAGCTCACCCACAGGGGCCGGCCCAGTCGCATAGCAGTTAAGTTCGCATGCTCCGCTTTGGCAGCCCCGGGTTGGCAGGTTCGGATTCTGGGCATGGACCTACGCACTGCTTATCAAGCCATGCTGTGGCGGCATCCCGTATAAGGTAGAGGAAGATGGGCACGGATGTTAGCCCAGGGCCAGTCTTCCTCAGCAAAAAGAGGAGGATTGGCAACTGATGTTAGCTCAGGGCTAATCTTCCTCAAAGAAAACATAAAAAGGTCACCCACAATTTCCAATGATCAGTCACAGACTTCATTGCTTTGAACACTTGTCAACAATATTGTAGTCAATTCCCACCTTAAAACACTTTCCTCCCTTGGCTTTCAGGACTCTCCATGCTCCAGCATTCCTCCAATCTCATGGGCCCCTCCCTCTCAGTCTTCTCTGCTGGGTCCTCCTCTGCTCTCAATGTCTATGTTGAAGGGGCCCAGGGGTCTACCTTCAACCTTCTCATTCCATACTCACCCCCACGATGATTTCCACTAGTCCAATGGTTTTAAATAACACCCACACCCTACTGACTCCCAAACATTTATCTCCAGCTCCATCCTCTCCCCTGAGCTGCAGGCTTGAATGCCCAATTATCTATTCAACACACTTGCTTGGACGTTTGATAATAGCTAAGATTTATTGAGTGCTTACCATGTACTGACCATGTTCTAAGCCTTCAGAATTCATTTTACAGTTATTTAATATGTATAACCACCAGTTACACAGTTGAATCTTCTCTTTCTCTTATACCCAACATTGAATGCATCAGCAAGTCTTCACCACTCCACTTTCAAATATACCCTGAATCCTGTTGTTTCTCCCTCCTGCACCACTACGATCCTAATCTAAGCTACTCTCATCTACTTGGACTAATCAATGGCCTCCCAAATGCTGGCCCTTCTTCTACTCTTAGCCCCTATAACCCATTTTCCTCAGCAGTAGAGTGATCTTTTTAAAAATAAAATTAGATCAAGTCTATATAATTATAATGCTTATAATTCTCCAAAGACTTGAATTATATTACAAATTGTAGACTTCTATTTATGGCCTCGGAGGCCTTACACGATCTGCTCCATTCCAACAGCAAGGACTTTCTTTCTATTTTTGGATATGCTGAGGACTTCCCCAACTCAGAGGCTCTTCCCTTGCTGTTCCCTCAGCTCTCACATGGTTTAGCCTTTATTCTACACCATCACTCTCCACTCTTGACTCTGCTCTAATTTTCCTTTCATAGCCTCACTGATAGCAATAACATTGACACACTTATTTGTCTATTCTCTACCTTGTCCCCAGAATGTAAGTTCTGTGAGGGCAGGGACTTGGCTGGTCTTGTTCACTGCTGTACTCACAGAGCCTAGTACCTGGCATGCAGTGGGTTCTCAACAAGTATTTGTTTATTGATGGTTCAATGAATGGCATTTCAAAACATTTATTAGTGACCAAATCCAACCACCTAAGCAAGATCTATTCTTCATCAATCCCTCTACCTCCTCCTCCATTTGCAGCCCCTCCTCCTACAGAGTAGGCCAGGATCAAAGACGTGGGCATTTAGTGGACCACAGTGTTGGAGGGTGGAGCTTGCAGTGTGGACACTCCCTTATACTGTGGTGACATAAACCAGCCATGCCACCACTTGGGAGCTTGCCTAACTAAAATAAGTTGATTTGATCCAGCTGATCAAATCAACCCAGTTGTTTTTCAACCCAGGCTGAACACTAAATCATCTGGGGAGCTTTTAAATATTGATTTTTCTGGGCATCACCCCATACCAATTGAAAGTTTTTGGGCTGGGGCCTGGGAATCAGTATTTTTAAGAGTTCGTTAGGAAATCTCAGACAAAAACTCACCCACATTCCTTCTTTCCTTGGCATGCCTTTTTCACCGTCTTCTCATGCATGGCAAAGATTCAAAACGCTGAGATTTCAGTAGGGTTAGGAAGAAAGTGGCCAAGGCCAGCAGTCAACCTGTTTGTGGTATTGCTGAATTCTTGGACTAGACTCTATTAAAAGACTCCTCTACACAGCCCATGCCTTCTATCCTTTTTCCATTATAAAGAAAAATAATTTTAGAGCTATCAGAACAGGAATTGATGTCATTCTTTCAATATAGATGTAGATATAGATATAGATTTATAGCAATTCCTCCATGCCAAACATTGTGCTAGGGATTACAATAATAAGCAAGAAAGACATGATCCCTACCTGCACAAACTTTAGAATTGAGTGAAGACGGACAACTAAAGAAACAATTATGATAAAATGCAGGAAGTGCTATCTCATGAGCATTACAAGATAAAGTTACAGAAGAATTATTTTTCATTAAATAAATTCATCACTCAAAGAACATGTCGTTTCTTTCTTCCTTCCTTCCTCTCTTTCTTCCTACCTCCCTCTCTTGCTTTCTTTCCCTCCTTCCCTCTCTTTCTCTCCCTTCCTTCCTTCCTCCCTTCCTCTGCCTCTCTCTTTCTTTCTTTTCTCCCTCTTTTCCTTCCTGCCTTCTTTCTTTCCTTCCATCTCTCTCTCTTTTCCCTCCTTCCTCCCTCCTTCCCTCCCTCTCCCCTTCCTTCTTTCCTTCCTTTCCTCCTCCCCTTGTTCCTTCCATTTTTGAGTCTAGAGGAGTAAGTGCACAACCATTTGAGAAATTCAATATTCACTTGAGATTCTATTATTTAAGATATCTGAAATCAAGCAATAATTTATTTCAAATTTCTGCCTCTTTAATAGCTTCTTGCCCTTGAATCAAAGCTGCTAAATTTTGGCTATAAGAACTACTCATCCATTTGCTTAAATCACAAGCAGTATTTCAAACAGTTGAACACTGCAAATTATTTGCAACAAGGTGAAATAACATAAAAATTCCAGACTCGGTTACTATATTAGGGGTTAACCTAATTCTAACAGTAAAAAATGTGTCAATGAAACCGTTAAATGTTATCAACTTGTATCCAGTAGTCTCTTGCTTCATAAACTACTGTCCTTATGCCATTAATATTCACCAAAAACAACAACAAAAAAGAGTACACAGGAAATTCTTATACTTTTTGTATTCAGTGAGGTTATTGTTATTTTTTCTTTTTATTATGAGTATGATGGGAAAAATAAAGTCTCCTTTAATGTTCTTTTTTTTTCCAAGTCTGGCAAAAATCAGAAAAAAAAACCTGTTGTTTGAAAGGGGTACTTGAAGTGAGGGAGCTTTGTATAAATGGGATATTGGTATATTAAGCATGTGCTGGAAAGAAAGAGTCAGGAATAATGGCAGAGACATGCCTGTCTGGGTGGAAGCAAAAAGAAAAAAAGAGAACTTAGGGCTATATGAATGCCACGAGTCTAGTTTTGGTTCAAAACTACCCAGTGGAGGGGCCAGCCCAGTGGCGCAAGCGGTTAAATGCGCGTGCTCTGCTTCAGCGGCCTGGGGTTCACAGGTTCGGATCCCGGGCGCGCACCTGATGCACTGCTTGTCAGGCCATGCTGTGGCGGCGTCCCATATAAAGTGGAGGAAGATGGGCACGGATGTTAGCTCAGGGCCAGTCTTTCTCAGCAAAAAAAGAGGAGGATCGGCATCGGATGTTAGCTCAGGGCTGATCTTCCTCACAAAAAAAAAAAAAAAATACCCAGTGGAGAAATACATAGGAACAAGCTATGTTTATGTGGCCATTTTAGTGAAAAGAGTTAAATTGGGCTACAAAGAAAGAAAGCCTAAAGTATAGCCGCTGAAAATCTTCGGCATAAAGGAGACTTTTTCTCACCGAGCTGTCGGACCCCAGAGCAGCAGCAAGGAGACTGGTACATCCTTAAAAAAGTTTGTGTAAAGATCCCTCATGCTCTGAGAGTGAGGAAGCCAAGGTGAAGGTGGGTGAAAATCCACCCATCACAATGAAAATAGCTAAGGAAGATGTTAAGAGACCTTTTCCTCCTTTCACTCTTGCTCTAGATGATGTTTCATTACCTGAAATTCACATTTAGGGTCCAATTTGCTTCATGCCTATACTACTGTTTTAATAATGAATATGCATTATGGATAACATTAAGATTCTGTGATTTCAACTCACAATTCCTCAATTATCAGCTCTAGAGAGAAAACCCAGCTACTTGTATATCTCAGATGAATTATGGCCTGCAGGGGAATTTATACAGAATTGCAGGCACAACGTCTCTGGACACAATAACCAGTCACTTTGGCTTGCAACTTGCCATACTCAACTCTCAAACACGAAAATGCCACATTTCACTTAATTCAGTTAGCCAAGTTTAGAGATCTTCTATCTTCATCTTTTGTTAAGAGCACAAAGTTTTCCCTTCTTTCACTCTTTCTGATTTTTCTTTAATAAATTTAATGTTAAATATATTAAATATCTCTTTTTTAAGGAAAAAAGATTAATATTTATAATTAACATCTGTGATATAAATCACCCTATTTTCTAAGTCTTACTCCAAAAACAGCATTGCCAAGTGGTGATTTGGAGGTTGTATGAAGGTTACTAAATTTGCACTAAGTAAAGAAATATCACTCGATGGCATCATTACTGTTCAGAAATCTTACAAACATCTTACTTTTAGTATTGT